ACTAAACCAAGAAGAGATTAACAGCTTAAACAGACCCATAACACAAAAAGAAATTGAAACAGTAATACAAAACCTTCCAACTAAAAAAAGCCCAGGACCAGATGGATTTACTCAGAATTCTATCAGACATTTAAAGACGATCTACATCCAATACTACTTAATTTATTCTAAAAATAGAAATGGAGGGAAAATTTCCAAATTCCTTCTATGAAGCCAGCATCACTCTCATACCAAAGCCTGGTAAGGATACAACCAAAAAAGAAAACTATAGACCCATATCCTTAATGAACATAGATGCAAAAATTATGAAAAAAATACTTGCAAACCACATACAGACACACATCAAAAAGATCATTCACCATAATCAAGTAGGCTTTATCCCAGAGATGCAGGGATGGTTCAATATGTGCAAATCAATAAACATCATTAACCATATAAATGGACTCGAACACAAAAAACACAATGTCATCTCAATAGATACAGAAAAGGCTTTTGACAAAATTCAGCACGCATTTATGTTCAAAGTCCTAGAGGGAATTGGACTGGAGGGAACATACCTCAACATAATTAAAGCTATATACAACAAATCCACAGCCAACATCATTCTAAATGGAGAAAAATTGGAAGCATGCCCATTAAAATCAGGAACCAGACAAGAATGTCCACTATCTCCACTCCTTTTCAACACAGTGCTTGAAACTCATGCTAGAGCAATAAGACAAGAGAAGAAAATCCAACTAGTACTAATTGGGAAAGAAGCGGTCAAACTATCACTTTTTGCAGATGACATGATACTATACCTAAGAGATGCCAAAAGTTCCACCACAAAACTCCTAGAACTGATCAACACTTTCTGTATAGTGGCAGGTTATAAAATCAATCTACAAAAATCAGTAGCCTTTCTATATACCAATAACAAGTGATTGGAGAAAGAATACAGGGAACTGCTCCCATTCACAATTGCTACAAAAAAAAATAAAATATCTTGGAATAAATCTGATGAAAGACACCAAAGACCTCTACAATGAAAGTTTTAAATCATTAAAGAAAGAGACTGAGGAAAACACCAGCAGATGAAAGGACCTCCCATGCTCATGGACTGGAAGAGTTAATGTTGTTAAAATGACCATCCTACCAAAAGCAATATATAGATTCAATGCAATCACAATCAAAATCATAGGATGACATACTTCACAGAATTAGAAAAATGCATCCTTAAATTCCTATGGAGGCACAAAAGACCCTGGATAGCCAAAGCAACCCTGAGCACAAAGATCAATGCTGGGGGGATTACTATACCAGAACTAAAAGTATATTACTGAGCCATAGTCGTAAAAACAGCATGGTACTGCTACAAAAAGAGACACATAGATCAATGAAACATCATTGAAGAGCCAAACCTGAGGACATGTGATTTCAGCCACCTGATATTTGACCAAGGTGCCAAGAACACACAATGGAGGAAAGACAGCATCTTCAACAAATGGTGCTGACAAAACTGGATCTCTACCTGTAGAAGAATGAAAGTAGATCCTTATCTTTCACCTTGCACAAAAGTCAACTCCAAATGGATCAAAGACCTCAATGTGAAGAGAAAACCCACAGAATGAGAAAAAATCTTCACCAGTGACACATCTGACAGAGGTTTGACATCCAAAATATATAAAGAACTCAAAAAACAGACAACCGAGAAACCAAATGACCCAATCAAAAAATGGGCTAAAGATCTAAACAGAGAGTTCTCAAAAGAAGAAATAAAGATGGTTAAGAAACATCTCAAAAAGTGTTCAACGTCATTAGTAATTAGGGAAATGCAGATTAAAACCACCCTAAGGTATCGCCTTACCCCAATCAGACTGGCTAGGATCAAGAGAACAAAGGATACCAAATGCTGGAGAGGATGTGGAGAAAGGGGTGAACACTCATTCACTGCTGGTGGGATTGCAAACATGTGCAACCTCTGTGGAACACAGGGTGGAGAACTCTTAAAAAACTAAAAATGAACCTACCATATGACCTGGTTATACCACTCCTTGGCATATACCCAAAGGACTCATCCTATTATAGAGACACTTGTACAACCATGTTTGCTGCTGCTCTTTTCACAATAGCTAAGAGATGGAAGCAACCTAAATGCCCCTCAACTGATGAGTGGTTAGCAAAAATGTGGTATATTTACACAATGGAACCCTATTCAGCAGTAAAGAAAGATGAAATATTGAAATTTGCAGGTAAATGGATGGATCTAGAAACTGTTATACTAAGTGAAGTAACACAGACTCAGAAAAACAAACCATGTAAGTTCTCCTTCATATATGGCTCCTAACAACAAATCCTTTTAAATTCTAGGTCCTTTTAATAAGATGATGCTATACAGCAGTCCCTTCTGCATGAAATAACTACCATCATCATGACCTCCACTGAGCCTGATTGCTAAACATAGTCACAATTGGGGTTGTTGATGGTTGTGCTCATTCATTAAAAGGGTGCCAAGCAGGGTCACTGGACCCTCACCTGAGTATCCAGCCACTCTTCTCAGCCAACTAGTCCAGCCTTGGAAGACAAAAGAAAAATGAGGAAGAACCCAATAGAGGGATGCTTTTGGAAGTCCTTGCCAAGAAAATCCAATGGACTCTCATGAATATTTGAAAATTGCCCTGTTCTGACTTTTTTCTAATTCCCTGTCTAAAACTTGTAATGCTAATTACTCTTGTCTTTACTTCTCCTTCACATCTCCCATTCATGATTCAAGGACTTTCTTCTCCCCTTAGAGACAAGAGTTACACAATTTGGGGGTCTTTTAGATAGACCAACTGAAGGGGTAGTCCAATTGCCTCACCCTGCATCCCTGTTCAACATGGAAGAAGCCAGAGTGGTTGGATAATGCTTCGTAAAGCTATCCTACCTCACTGAAGGGGGCAAGCACCTCCATTCCTGCCATTTAAGACCCTTGACTTACCCAGCATACTGTTCTGGAAAGTTCCATGTATGTTCACATATCGAGCCACTTCACAAGACTTCCTGATGAGCCCTATTTGGAAGTGAAACATTTGCTCCAAGGACAATTGTGCTTTTTCAAGTATATGAAATATCCTGTAGCCAGAAGAATCAAGAGAAAATGAAAACTTACTAACGACCATATATAGTTATAAGGTAACAGATACAAACGCCTGGCAGACCACATAGAAAGAAATCAGAACCTTTGAAATAGCTCAATTAACATTGTTCATAAATTCCTCTACTCTGATTTGAAAAATGAGGGAAACTCATTTATGGTAATACATAAGAAAGAGTAAATCAAGGGGAAAGCAAGAGAAAAATAAAGAACACTGTATAAAACAGACTTAGAGGCAAGAAAAATACAGTCCGTGTTTGATATACTTGACTACAAACTTATTAGCTGCTGAGAGATGTGGTGACTGATCTAGATGCTCAAAAAACAGAAAGGATGCATGGGTCCTGAGAGCAGCTGTCCAGACAGAAATTCTGACTATGTAACAAACAACAGCCCCAATCGCATGCATACCTCAGGATGGTCATGAAAGTTTATGTGGATAGTTAAGGAAGCTGTTTCATGTGTTATAGTTTTTAGATGCTTTCTTATAATATTAATATGTTAATCTTAAAGTATATATCTTTCTGTGCTACCAGTAGAAGTAGAACACACGATGTTGAGCCATCATTGAGTAGCGGTTGAAAACCTGCCCATGTCCAAGCATTAGAAAGTTTTCCATCTGACACACACTTACACTGTGGAGACAAGTTGATGCTCACAGCTACCAGAAGAGGCACCATTCCCAGAAGGAGCATCAGCTCCTGGCTGCTGGAAGAGCCGAGAACAGGAAAGGCTCACTTCTGACAGCTGCATGTCAAGTTCCTGCCATCCTAAATGCCCTTCAGGTCCTGAAACTGGCAAGTCTGTGTGTCCTATAATGGCCTCTTGCAAACCACGCCCCTTACAAAGAAAAAGAAAACATCATTTTTCATGAATTAAGCCATTTAATGTGGGTACTTGAGATGCAGCCTACACAGTCAGTCTTAGTTATCAATGTTTCTACCTGACCTGCACTTCAAAGATGCCCTTTAGGATAATAATCCACTAGGGCACAGTTCTAAACCTGAACCTTTGTACAGACCCCCAAATAAAACCTTATCCAATAATAAAGTACAATACTTCATCTCCCACTTCATTAGGCACCTAATATATAAGGACTCAAGTATCATAGGCTTGTGTGGTGGTAGTTAGTCTCCCACATTTGATGGGGGAAAATTAATACAGTCTGCAAGAAATCAGACCTAGTAACTCCTCCCACAATCCCTTGATGCAGCACAGTGGGGTTGGACTCAGTGGTTAAGAACACTACTGACTGCTCTTGCACAGGACTCAGGTTCAGTTCCCAGCACCCACGTGGTGGCTAACAACCATCCGTAATTCTAGTTCTAGCAGATCTGACACCCTCTTCTCACCTCTGCAGGCACTGTATAACACTGGTGTACTTACACACATGTAGGCAAAACACTCATACACATACAAATAAAAATAAACAAATCAAAATAAATTAATGCAGGAGAATGACTCAGTCCTGTTATTTCTGAGCAGTTGTCACAAAATTTAAAAACTTTCATTGTTGCCTATTTTGGGAATCTTTAATTATCAGATAGCCCAGCTACCTGTGAATAGCCCAGCTGCCCTGCTGAGAAATCACAGGAGGTTGCTATAGAGAAAAGAGAAACCCTGAGACTCTGGTGTCCCTGCTGGGCATCCAAACTCCAGGTCCATCCAAACATCAGGCTGTGGCTATACAAAAAGTACCTGTAAGACCATCAGAACCCACCTGGCTGAGCCCATCAACCCCAGAGTCACAAGAGACCAGAGAGTATGCTTTTTCATCAACTGCTGAGCTTTGGAATGGTTTATTAGGACACGTCAGCTGACTTCTGTCAGAAGGACTATCAGGACTATCTCACATAGGTGAAGAAGAGTGCTAGCACCTGCAGCAGAGCCCACTGAGTCAATCCCAGCTCTACACGGGCTTTTCCTGTGCCTGAATAACTTCAAGCACACCTTTCTGTCTGCCTACTAGCCCCTCAGACTTCTCTTAGCCCCTCATTTAAGACTCAGACTCTTCTTTGGGAGAATTTCCAGATGCCAAGCTGCTGTGCACCTATGCCATCTGCTCCGCTCAGCCCAGAGAATGGCTTGTGTTCCTGCACTCTTTGGCATGTGGAGTGGATGCTGAGACAACATTAATGAGTTGAATCACACACACTTACCTCGGTTTTCATCTTGCTGGGACATCATTTCTATGAGCATGAATTTTATTAGTTTTAGTATTTTGCTAATTTCATTTCATAATGTATATAAGGAAGAATTTTTTTAAGAAACAAGTAATTCTGAGAGGGGCAAAAAGGAATGATAAAAATAAGAGTAATCTAATTTTTAGTTCTCAGTAAGAAAAATAGGTTCTAGGGGCTGGAGAGATGACTCAGCAATTAAAAGCATTGATTGCTCTTGCAGAGGACCTGGGTTCAATACCCAGCACCGACATGGCATCTAATAACTGTCCATAACTCCAGTTCATTCCCAGGGGATCCAATGCCCTCTTCTTACCTCTACAGGCATTGCATGATAATGGGGCACTTATATGCATGCATGCAATACACTCATACAAATAAAATAAAAATAAATAAAATTTATAAAAGAAAAATAGGAGGCAAACGACGTGGGAATCTTTCTAAACATTTTGGAGTCTGTGTGAATGCTCAACTTGATAGCAGAATCCTGGGCAGTGACAAGGAAAGAGCGTGAATTTCAAGACCCATGATCACTAAAAGCCACAGCTACAAACTGCTGCATGTTGACTGATGGCCAAAGTTCTCTCTCCACTCTTCTTCCCATATGCAACTAGAAACGAGGAGGGGTAAGAGACCAGGAAACCAGGGGAGCAGCTGTATATGTCTGGAACTTTGGGGTTCTCTAGAGGATGGGCAGGTAGGTTGTGAGGTTGTGGCAGGACGTGAGCACATCTACTCCCAAAGGTCAGATGGTTTGGGATTGATAGGCAGCCGCCACGCAGGAAGCAGTTACCTTTTAGTGATGCCAATACTTCCTTGGTAAAAAGTCCAGGTTTAATATCAGCATCTTCAGTGACTGAGTCCAAAGTATGAGCCCAGTTGGTGCTCTTGAAGGGATTGAATGGAGGATACTTACAGCGTCCTCCACTGCACGAAGCAGCTCTCTTAAAATACTGGTTCTGTTGAAGGAGGCAGGGTGACACAGCATTGCACAGAGACTACCCCAGATGCTGGAGTTCCCAGGATAGGGGGGACCCTCCTCACACAAGTGTCCATTCAGGCAAGTGGCAGAAGCATTCTTGGTCAACAACTGGAAAATTAATGAGAATGAAAAGAAGAGGGAAGTCTCAGTGATGTTCTCCGTGGAACCAAGAACTACGCAGCTACTCAACTATGCATAAAAATGTTAAAGTACAGCAAAAGGTGCTTCTAAACCTTGCCTTTTGTTCTCTTTTAATTTTCTAGAAAAATTCAGAACAGACATGAATACTGCATGAGCTTCTTGAAAGTTTTATGAAAATAGTGTGGGTGTAATCCTTGGCTGATTTACCTGCTTTAACCCCCAAAAGAAAGTATCTGCTTCATCAGGTCCAGTGGGTATAAAGCCCCTTGCTGAAGTCTCTAGGTGAGTGAGGATTTCTGCAAGATCAAAATTCTGGTTTACTCTTCACTGCTGGGTTAGACTTCTTCTTCAAGCCTGGGTTTTATGCATAGCCATGAAACAATCAACTGAATTCCAAAAATATGCATCTCAGTAAACTTGACCTGCTATTCAACATTTCATTATCTTGCTTAAAAAACAGGGAAAGTGATTGAATGCTACTTTATCCATTTTAAAGACTCACTATTACGGGGGTTTGACATGAAAGAGTTTTGCTTCTAAAACAACACCCCTCGTCACTTTTTTCTCTCTCATTTCCTCAGACAAGGGTTGAAGGAACAGTACCCACAGTCAATAGAAGTCAAAGAAGGGCATTCTGCAGCATCAGAAAGACCAAGATCTCACAAGGACACAGAAATATGAAGTGGGGGCAATCAGATGTGCTGATGCCCTTCTGCACAGGGCACCAGGGAGCATCTCCAGTCTGAGAGCAATGGAGCTGGTGTCAATGAGAAACTTAAACCATCCCAGGAAAGGGCTTGTCCCAGACCACACTGCAGACTTTGCTAAGCACATTGTACATCCTTCGCTGACAGCAGATGGCACGTCCAAAGTGATACGCCTCCTAGAGACTGAGACGCATAAGCATGTATATGGCACCAGGAGAACTCAGCTTGAAACTTTAGAAGCTCGTCAATCTGTTTACCAATAACTGTCTGGTTTCTCTTGATGAGTGCACCACAGCAGCAGGGCTGGTTTACCTTGGAGGAAACTCAAATCCTGGGCTACCAGGTTCCTGAGAGCAGCAAATAGCTGCAGCAGCCTCTTCAGAGCTGGTGCCGGGGGCAGGTCCTGCAGTACACACTGCAGCTTCCCCAGATGTTGGAATCTGAGTGCAAAAATAAATAAATGAAATGGAAATGGAAAACAAGCCAACACTCCAAATCCTGAAATGAAAGTTCATGCAAAGGAAAATGCCTCACTGCGTCAGGAATAGTGCTCACAGACTGACTGGAAAGCCCACTTCATCATCTAACTGGCTTCTTGACAAATTGCATTGCTGAGTGTGCTGTTGCAATGATTCTTTCAGGTATTAGATATAGAAACATTCTCTTTACCCCAGAAGAGCATAAAACAGGTGAGAATTTAGGATAAAGTATGAGTCGACATTTACAAATATTTGCATTGCTAGGAATGTTGGCTTACACCTGTCATCCCAGAACTTGGGAAGCTAGCATAGGATTGTGAGTTCTAGGCTGGTGTGAGATACACAGTAAGACCCACTTCTTGATGCCTTAAATCTTATAGTTATGAGGCACAGAAAATTAATCTGAGTTTCAAAATATTTAGATAGTGTACTAGTGGCATAAAGGACCCATCAAGGTAGTCCTAATTAAGACAAATTAAGAGTCTCCAAGACCAAAGGAAGAGCAACCGGTAAGGCTGCTTGACATCTACAGTCCCTGAAGATTACAGACTCAAAGCCATTCAACCTGGGGCTTGCTGCAAATGCTGTTCTATTTAAGATAACTGCCTTGAAAGCCTGGCAGAAAAATCAGGGGGGGTGGGGGGGGGGGCAACGTGCCTAGTACCAGCAGGCTGCTCCTGAATTCCTGCATAAATGGCTGGGGCAGACAGAAGAGGGAGGGGCTGCGGGGAG